TTATTCAGTACAATTGTCATTCATAACATGTTTCAATGTTACCAAATTCTGCTTGATCAATATTTATATTCTTAGCTAATTATATTTCTTCTTTATTTATCTGCAGGCAGAGTATGACACCATGCTGATCGAGTACTCAGGAGAAGTCATCCCGGCTCTGGCTGTGGCAATCCCAGGACAGCAGTTTGCACCGTACTTTGCAGGATTCCTGCCCCTCATGGCAGCACGATTTGTAAGGAGCCAAAAATCAGAGCTGTAATTTCTAATGCTTTTAAAATGCTTTTGTTGAGATTATAACTGGACAAACAATCGATGATTTGTAAAATTTAATTCCTTAGTTATCTTTGTATTTATGTATCTGAGATTCACAATTGGCTTGATTATGCCGAATCAGCACCAAGGACAGGTAAGGCATCAATCAAATCAGGGATAAGGGAACACAAGAGGGATGCCCAATCAGCACCAAGGGTAGATTTGATATTGTCAAATCATCACCAAGGATAGGTAAGGTAGATGACCAATCAGAACTAAGGGAATGTAAATCTGATGTCTAGTCAGTACCAAGGATAGGTATGGTACATTTAGAAAATGTATTTTACAAGTGGCCAAAAATGGATGTTCAGTACCCTGCTTTTTGCCTTTCTCTAAAACACCTCAAATTTTCCTGTTACAGAAGAGAACCAGTACTGATGCGGAAAGGTCCTTTGCAGTAGGAACCATCTCAGAATCCATAGCCAGTATGAAGGCTGCAGTTGTGCCTTTTGTACCACATCTTTACCCAATCCTGCTACAAGCGGTGAAGGATGAAAACGACGAGGTGCGCAGTAACGGTGTGTACGGACTTGGTGTACTAGCCGAGCATGGTGGAGAGGCTCTCTATCAGTATCCTTTCAGCATAGCTCAGTTTCAAAATAGATTATAGTTTCTTTTCAGGGATACATGATACATGTACAGGAAAACGTATTGATAAAATAGATGTGTTTTCACGAACACATGATGATGTGTTTACATATGAGGGCCTTATTACCTACCAAGACTTCATAATATCCTTCAGTATTTCCTTGACTGATTTTTCCCAAGACATTACCCAGCCATACTGCAGACCCTGTCAGAGGTGTCCACCATAGCCGGTCAGCAGAGAAGAGTGGTGGACAACATGTGTGGGGCAGTAGCACGACTCATCATGACCAACATCAGTGCTGTTCCAATGGAATCGGTATGTAACCTGTTACTCAGCCATGTATACCAGAGTCAGTCATCAGATAACATTTTTTTTGGCTGAATTTTTTTGGTCTGTTTTCTTCCTTGTACTAAAAGATTGTATCATATTTCATGTATGACTTTTTAAGTGTTTCCCCTTTGTTTTGAAGTACATGAATGGACACCCTTCAGATGTTTTGTTTTATGGTTGTCAACTATGATGTTTATTATCCTGTTCCATATCAAGGCCCAATTATGTTAGTTTGGTGAGTGAAAGGTGTGGCAGATTGGTTTTGTTTGGAGGAACTAAGATATTTGTAATGAATTGTACAGGTGTTGCCTGTGATGGTGAGTACCTGCCCCTTCAGGAGGATTTTGAGGAAAACACCACAGTGTACAAGTGTGTGGTTCACCTGTACCAGGCAGGGCATCCTCAGGTAAGGACCTCAACAACTACATTTCCTTTCGTCATGTAAGCTGAAGCATTCCAACCTAACAGTGTAGCAGTTTATTACGTCATTTAGATATTTGTAGAATCTACAATTAACAGCAGTTTGCACTGTATTTTGAAGCTTGTATCTTACAGAACTGGGTAAGAGGAGAAGAAAGATGCTGTTAGAACAAGTGATTTTTCTACCAAACTATTAGGTTGTGAAAACAACATTCCTGTGAATCTTTCTTCTGTTTTCAGATTCAGCAACTCTTGCCCCAGTTGCTGACAGCATTTGCCCAGGTCATGGGGACTACACAAATAAATGAAGGTACATATACTTTCTTTGTAAATGAAACATTGCCAAAGCCAACTTTGAATCTGAATTACTGAAATAGCTTGATTGGAGTGTTCAGAGGTAGTACTTAAACAAGGCGAGTGTACAATGTATGTTTACCACTGGTAAAACATGTATTTGAACACATTGGTGAATGGTGACCTAAAGTGCATAGTCATGAGTCAACCAGGTGAGTGTACTAGAGGTACAATGTAGAGGAAGCCCTGTACTGTAGCTAGATAGAGGCCATGAATTTTGAGGTGGCCTCCTAAGTCCTGACACTATTTTGTTGACTTTTGCAGAAATGCAGAGTGCCCTGACTGCCATGGTGAAGGATGTACAGCAGAAGTTTCCCCAGGACTTCACAGGTGTGGTCTCCTCCCTCCCACAGGAACAGGCTGAAAAACTTGCTGCGGCAGCCGCCTCCTAGGGATGGCAAACTGTGGACTGTTGTAGCCATTTGCCTCCGGCATTCCTCATAGTTGTTTAGCATGTTTGTGAATTTATGACTAAGTGCAGTTTGCTGTTGGTAAAGACTTTGTTGTTGTTGCAAAATTGCAAGATTGTGTTGCAATATTTTTTTTGTGCAAGATAGGCCAAAAGGTTGGAAAAGATAAAGCTTATTAGTTTGATGTGTCTATTAGATATTTGGCAATGTTTTCATGACAGTTGGCTGTTTAGGATGTATTTTTGTAAAAAAGCATAAAATGTTTGAAACAAATGAAATCTTGCAATTGCAATTGTATCAGGGTCAGACTTGACAGATTCACAAAATCTGCTTTAGCTAGATTAGATGTGAAAATGTACTAATGCCTTTGAAATTCTTGTTTTATTTTACAGTTATTTCATAGTTGTTTTAAATTATCATTTGTCATTTCATTTGATAATTAAGAAAAAAATGCAAGCTGTGCTCCAAAAAGTGTGTGCTTGCGCTAAAATTGTACAGTTTTCATAATTGTTTTAGATTAAGTTATCATTTGTCATTTAATTTGATAAGGCCATGTTGATTTGATTATATGACATCCGCGCGCATCAATTTTCGGCCATTTCCAAACAAAAAAAGTTTTCAACCATGCTGTAAATCGTACAAAACAGTTAAAAATACTGTAAGTTGCACAAAAAATATTGGAAAACAATAACAATGTCGTGGGATGTCAAAACCAAACGAAAAAAGACGAAAATGTAAAGAAATGAATTTGAAGAGTAGATTATTCGCCATACCATACCGTGTCATTTGTTCAACCTTCATGACCACGTAGATTTCATAATGAAAGCAACTTTTTTTTTTTGCAAAACTTTTTTTTTATTCGCACGCTCGCATCAGTTTTGGGGTTCCCAGAGGATGTCATCCATATAATCAAATCAACATGGCCTAATGAAGAAAAAAAATGCATACTGTGCTCCAAAAAGTGTGTGCTTGCCCTAAAATGAATTTTGAAATATGTCTTCAAGCCATCAAAACTACTAGCACAGTAGACAAGCAGGAAGTACAAACGTTTAGTACACAAATGTATTTGCCTTCTCAGTTGTGGAAAATGTGCCAAACGCTGCTGTTTTGAAAAAAAAAAGTTAAGAAATTTGTTCAGTGCCCACTGCCATTTTGTCCGCAAGCATACTTTTTCAGTTAAAGCATCCAAATTAAAGTATTGTACTGTTTTTTTTTTCTAACAATTAAAGTAGTAAAGATATCTATCATGTTGGATAATGGGTAGGTATTATCTTATAAGTCAATAGCTTCAACTAATGTCTAAGTAGCATTAGATATTTGCAAGCTACCGGTAGTAGTGTGAAAAGATAGTGTCGCTTTTGTTATTTCAGCCTTGCTTACATGTATTAGGTGACAAGCACTGGTATAAGGACAGTGTTTTATGTTGTCTGTTGAAGCAATATCTTGTAGGAGTGATTGATCAGAACCAAATTCCATCAAGTGCCAATGTTCTAAAGTTTTAGCAATGCTAAAGACTATAGTATAGAGTTTTTCAAAATAATGACAATGACCTTCTTACAACAGTGTATTCACACTGAACTTTAAGTTTCTCCATGCTAATGAAGGTTTCTTCTATGTACCTCATATGTACTTGTATCAGGGGCAAGGTTAGACTAATGAAGGTCTGTCTGAACTTACATTAAAATCTTGGCTCAATTCTATGTTTGATAAAGCAGCAAGAGTGGGCAAGCGTGTAATGATCTGTTCTAGCATTTGATCAAGTACAAATGGCTGTGAACTGATGTTCAACACAAATGTGCAGTTTTAGATAAAGGAAACAGAGGGAAAAAATGTCTAAGCCCTTTTGTTTGATGTCTTTGACACAGTGTAATGCTTTTGCTGAAAATAGTAGCAACACATTGTCTACACATTACAAATACACTGTGTGCCATGGCAACATTATTTCAGTTCAAACCATTACTCACAACAACCTGGGTAAAAAAGGCATGGCTGTTACAGCTATAGCTGCGCAACAATTCTGAGTTTAAAACAAACAGGGCTTTTTGCTATCTCTGTTAAAGATATCGCATTGCAACAATATTTGACTTGAAATTGTGTTCACTTTTTTAATTATGTCAGGCCATCAATACCTGACTTAAACAAATAGTATAAAAAATCCAATGGCTAGGCTATTTTGACCTATTCATTAGTAGCACCATTGAAAATTTAGTGGAAGGGTATAAGTTCATCATCAAACAGCATCGTACTTAAAAAGTTGCAACATTTCCATGAAAAAGGTCTAATTTTAATTTCCTGAGGGCAACCGAAGTCCTCTGTTGAGAGAGGTAAGTACACCTGCATGTGACGTAGCTTTACAGTCGACGGCGCTATATCCATCTAGAGTTACCTTCCCCTTTTTGGTGATGTCCTCCTTGGTACCTGTGTTCATACGGAGTATGAAGTACTTCTCAGCACGAAGGTCATGCCACCAGCCCAGGGTACAGGCTGGGTTCAGGTTCCACTTCTCGTAGTAGTGACATTTCATGGTGATTCGCTCAGATGGGAGGAACTCGTACACGTCTAACTTTTTGCACAGCGACAGCATGACTGCAATGCCTGATGGTAGGAGTATGGGAAATTTGCACTACTTTCTCTTAGCCTTTATCATTGAATATGCATTGTGTAACCATGCATTGCCTTAGGAAAAACAATTAATTCAAGTGTATCCAAGGCAAATATGATCAGAAAATGACATGGTGTCATGATTGTAACAGTGGACACAAATTACAGACACTGTTTTGTAATGTAATAGTAAACAGTTGACTCAGTGCCATGTCTAATGGCATAGGAATTGTGGTACATCTAGTTGTTTCTGCATATCTGTACCTTGGAATCCTGAGGAGGGTGGGTTGGGGTGGATCATGGCCTCTGTGTTCTCCTGCAGGACGTCCCACAGTTCCCAGTAGAAGCGTGGGTCTGTAATGTACAGGTGCTCCTGGGGGAACATCCTCCGACGCTTCTCATACGAGCTGAAGAAGTTGGCGTCTGGATTCTCATACCACTTGTGGAGGAAAAAGAAAAACAGTCTCAGTCAAAGCCTAGAAAAAAATCTTGTGTTTCCTGACCAATCCTAGAAAAAACTGATGACCCTACCCTTTTTTTGTGTGTGTGGACCCCTGCAAGGGACATATTTTTCGAGCTGATCGACCTTTTCTAGCTCCATCTGACACCTGAGTGAACAATCAGTTTTTCAAGTGTCCTTATGCAAGTTTTACATTGTTAGGCCACACCAATTTAATTTGTTGGTTCTCGGATTTTTTCAGAAAAAATATGAAGCGACAGGGCGAAAAAAAATAAAAAATAAAAACAGGTCTAGGCATCCTATTATAGCCCCAAATGCTACAATATGAGCCATCAAGTCAACAAAAAAGGCTGGGGTTAAGATTTAAAGTATAAATTTTGAACTTTTAATCAAACTACTGCATTGATAGATGGAAAAACTGTAACAACTAGGAAGAGAAGGAATTTCCTTTTTCAAAATATGAGCATTTTTGAGTTGATTCAGAACCAGAATCTTTTTTTTTTTTTGCAAATCAGAAAAAAATGAAGAGGCGAATCCGAGAACCAACAAATTAAATTGGTGTGGCCTTAAACTGTATTGTATAAGTTGGATCACTAGAGATCCCCAAAGTCTAAATGAAAAAATCCTACCTACCAACCCAATTTTTTCAGGACTGAAACAGGAAGCACAACATCTTTTTTTTCTAGGCCCAAAAACTGCCACTATTGCAAATGGTCTATTGTGAACAATCGAGCAACCAACTCCTTCAAATGGACCTCACCTCCTGCATGTCTCCAGTGTAAGCTGCAGGGTCCCACACGATCATGGTGATGTTCCTGTAGATGGGATCTGTAAAGAAGTTGTAACTCGGGTTGGCCAGGAGCTGTGAGTTCATCAGACGCAGGGTGGTCTTCACACCGATGTCTGCCCTGTATTTCTCAGACAGGGGTGCACTGTTGAACCTCATCACTGCATCATGGGAGTCTACAATGGAGAGGTGGTTAAAATTGATTCCAAGATTTGTAATCTAGGGTAGATACCAAATGACAAATTTTCTTGAACACAGCACTAAACAAAATCAACAAAAGCAGTGTCTGCTATGTTATTATGGCATTGATTTACAAAAAAAGTCCTCTTCACAGAAGATGGCAGAATACCTCTGAATCAGTATATATTTCATTGTACATATTTTGTACTTCCTTTCTATGAGCTGGGATGTTTGCCTTGCAATTGGAAAGCTTGGGCCTTGTAATTTTTTTCAAATCCATTCAATACTGAATCATGCTTGCTCAATAGAAATACATCTTATTGTTGCACTTCTTACAGGGTTTCTTGGGGTTAGTATAAAGGTTGGGGCGTGACAGGGTGGTGAGGTGTTATTCACAGAAACATACATCCTGTCACTGAATAATGCAAGAAAGTCTTATTGACAGGAACAACCTCTAAATTACCTTAGCTAAATACATTCTGCATTTCTGTTGAGTAATGTATTACTTCCCCTGCACCATGTCTTAATAACTAACCGATCATGACCCATTCTCTGGGCTTGCTCACCTATTTCCTCTCCTAGATTTGATCCCAGAATAGCAGCAGAGTTCATCACTGCTGCACAGGTGTTGAAGCCGTCATGGTGAAGCTGGTACAGGGTGTTCTTCGGTTCCAACTGGGAGTAGTTCAAGGCCTTAAAGGGGCCTTCCTTGCTTGGGAGCGTCTTAAACCACGCCCGGCTCTTAAGTTCGCAGAGCAGATCATGTTTAGACAAGGGCTGGTACTTGGCACGAGTCACGGCAATGGCAACTTTCTTGTGTCGGAAGGTGACTTGGAAGCGATTTCTCCCGAACAGAAAATGGACCACGAAGAAGGCCAAAACGAGAACGGCGAATAGGTAGAAGAAGACCGGTCTTGCTCTTTGTCTCCACATAGATGGAAACTTTCCTGGTAATGAACTGGAAAAGCAGCAAACGAATAATTTTTTCACCAAACGAACAATTTTTTCACCGCTTACTTTCATCATCGGATTGGCAACCTGTTACTGAGCAGTACAAGAAATCTTATTGACAGGGAAAGGCCGGATAATGAATAATGGGAACTCGTTTGAACCAGCATACATCCAGTCAATACAAGGTCTTGCACGGCCACGGCGAATGTTCCACACCTCGGAAAGAAATCAAAATCAAAATGCGAAGTGCGAGTAACGTTAACGCTAATAATATTTACATTGCTAAGTCCAGTAGGCAATACTTACATTAACGACCACGCTTGAACTTTGTCTGCAGACACCGTTGTCGCAGGTTGTTGGGAGGTTGTGCAAAAATGTTGATTAATTTTTGACGAATGAACATTTGTCAATGTCGTTACCGCAACAGGACCTAGAGGACATAGAACAGTGACCCTATTCACTATGCTGGGGTCACCATAAGACATTGACCAATCGTTGAGAAGATGAAGATGGAGGGCGATAGACCTCAATTTTCAAGTAAACAGAAGTTGAAAACTATTTTATTTTCGACAGTCACGTGTCTCTGATCATGGGTATGTACTTTAACCGCTCTTGGGGCCGAGATAAATCAAGTATAGAGGGAGAGGGCACTGACCGTGAGGTCTTGTAAAAAAAAAATCAGTCACCAGGGAACTGACCGTGAGGTCTTGTGAAACCTGAATCATCGAAGCAATGCGTTGCCTTTTTGCAGACTTCTTCACTAAAAGTTTTCGTTCTCCACGCGGCCGACTTTGCAGCCACCAATTCAATGGCTTCGGGAGAAGTTATGTTATGTACTGACAACATTTCCCCGAACTGGTTTTGCCATCTGCATTTCCGCCGATTTCCGCAGTGGCGCTGTTGCATGACGTCATTTTCGCGGGAAAAGTGGGCGTTTCAAGTTGATAAAAACAACTTGACAAGATGGCGGCGCGCAGGACAGACTTGCTTCCGTGTCCCATCTGTGGGAAGACCTACAGCACGGCAACGATCAATTCACACGTCGATCGCTGTCTAAAGGAGGGTGAGGAGAGTCAGGGTCATCCAGAGCCAGGAATGAAACGTCCAGGAGATGAGAAGGTCCCGCCAGCCAAACGATCAAAACAGGAATCAAGCACAGGCAGCAGGGGAGGGCAGGCTTGTCTGGGAAGTCCAACCGCCAAGCCTCCCGCTAAAGGAAGGGTTTTCTCCTCACCGGTGTCAGCTCAGACGTCAACGTTCTTCCAGAAAAGAGGAGCAACAACGTCATCAGAAAACTCAGTACAGAATGGCGACAAGTCCAAGGCGACTAAGGAAGATTTCCGGCCCTTGGCAGAGCGCGTTCGCCCCGCCAGTCTGGACCAGTACGTCGGTCAGACCAAGGCCCTGGGCGCCGGCTCCATGCTCCGTCTGCTGGTGGAGGCACATGACATCCCCTCTATGGTACTGTGGGGGCCACCGGGATGTGGCAAGGTTGGTAACATGGGGGTACTGATGAACTCTGCTTTCCAAATGTCATAGTACTCCCCCCTGAGCGCGTTTACTCAGTCCATTTTACTGAGGGGTGTTGCTCAGTATCAAACCAAGATCTAGTTTACACGTAACGTTACATGTCTATGACATTTCCATTCAGTGACAATGTATTACAAGCTCGTATCCAAGTGCTTGCAAGGTAAAGAAAATAAGTACATAACTTTTACATGTATATGATAAATGTAGTCATTTCAATGCAGTCATGACAGTGTGAATTAACTCACTGTTTCAATGCAGCTGTTTTATTAATTTTCTTGCTGTTTCTCAGACTTTACCTTTTATTGATATGGTAAAAGTTTAACTGAGGTTTTCAACATTCAGACAACAATGGCTCGCATCATTGCAAAGAATGCCAAGCAGCGTCAGAACAGCAGATTTGTGTCGCTATCGGCAACCATGTCAGGGGTGGACGAAGTCCGAGATGTCATCAAGGTGGCGAAGAACGAGCAGACAATGTTCAGGAGAAAAACCATCCTGTTTATTGATGAGATCCACAGGTTTAACAAGAAACAACAGGTAACGTGAAGCTTATCTACTTTGCCAGTTTATTTTGGCATAATTTGTAGTGATCAGTAGTCTCTACTACTCTACAGATACACTCTAATACTGGACCATTTATTATCGAACCCAGTAGCTTTTATGTTAACAGTACATGTAGTTCTTTTTGTATTAATTTACCTGCTCTTATACCAAAAGTATCTTCTGTACTTGCGATCAGCCCTCGGGCATGAATTTGCAATAAAACAATTAATTAATTGTTCACCTGTTGTTTCAGGACACATTTCTGCCACACGTGGAGAGTGGAGCCATTGTTTTAATAGGAGCCACCACAGAAAACCCCTCCTTCTCCCTGAACTCTGCCCTGCTGAGTCGCTGCAGGGTTATTGTGCTGGAGAAGCTAGAAGTCGAGGATGTGGAGTTGATACTAAGGAGGGCTGCCAGGACCATAGGTGACACAATACTTTATTATCAACACTGCATGCTGCTGCCAAATTTGCTGCAGGCCCTGAAGTTGTACTTCCATGCAAGTGTCTGACCCTCCTTTCTACATTCTCAGAATTATTAACTGCCTACTATGAACGTTTGTTTCTCTGCAACACATTTAGGAGTGTGTGTCTCTGGAGAAGAATCTGAAGTGGACTCTGACAAGGAAGCAGAGGAACCAAGAACAGGGTATGGTGGATAAAATTTGAAATGTTCTAAAGAGAATTTACTATAATATGATAACTTTATTGCGCAACAATTGTACAGTGTACAAAGTATGGCATCTACTAACGTGTATCTATATGTTTATGTAAAATATACAGTTGTTAGAGGTAAAGCTATGTATCTGACCAATTGAGTCTTAGGAAACTTCTTATCAACATATACCATTAAAGGATCTTTCAGTTGAAAAATGGCTCTTTACTCATGATCTCATTAGTGAAGTATGTAAAGTATTGTATAACTGTTAAAATTCACTTATTATTCAGCTACAGAACCATTACTGGTCCAGACAAAGTTTACTATTACGATTTTCTTTTCGGCTGCAGACCTCCTGTCACGATTCAGAAGGAAGCCATCACGACTCTAGCCCACCTGTGTGACGGGGATGCCAGAACTGCACTGAATGGTCTCCAGACGGCTGTCCGGTCCCAGACAGCCACCCACAGTAACCATGGTGATACCCAGCCTGTGGTGGTAACGGTGGAACATGTGAAGGAGGGACTTCAGAGGTCACATGTCCTGTATGATAGAGCAGGTGTTTCTCTTGTTGTAAATTAATTATTTTGCTCTTGACTTTGTTTATACAATCTATACCACTACATGTACATGTACTTTTGTATGAAATATATTACATTGTACTTTCACAAGCAGATGAGGAGTGATAATCTTTCCTTGCTATTTGACACAGGTGAGGAGCATTACAACATCATCTCTGCCATGCACAAGTCCATCCGTGGGTCTGATGCCAATGCTGCCCTGTACTGGTTGGCCCGTATGCTGGCTGGAGGGGAAGATGTGCTAGTGAGGACATTGGTGAGGCTTCTCATCATTTTTCCAATGTCAAAATGAATGGGTTAATTACATCATGCCTAAGGCCTGGTTCCAAGCATAAAGTGCTAGTTGCATCCGTTATATAACCATAATGATTTGCTCTACAATACTTCAATGGAGGATAGAAAGTAAACTGGGTATGACCACTTGACTTGGCATTTTTTGAAAGCAGGTACTTTATAATTCACTACACTTAATTTCAGGGCTAGCAGACCCATCTGCCCTGGTACAGGCAGTGGCTACCTACCAAGCCTGCCATTCTATTGGCATGCCAGAGTGTGAGGTAAGCCTTTCTGCTCTTGTCTACCAACTCAAATACTAGTATGCTTGTCATTATGTAGCAATGAACATGTAATTGTGAGACATGAAATGAACAAAAATGGAATTTGACATTTTTTCTCAATTAACCAGGTCATCCTAGCCCAGTGTGTTGTGTACCTTGCCAGAGCCTCCAAGTCTGTAGAGGTGTACGTTGCTTACACCAATGCCAAACAGTGTGTGGAGAGACATCAAGGACCTTTACCAGGTACAGCTGAAAATAGATAAACTACAATGAACTATTGAGTAGAGCTCCAGGATGATACATGTAAAATAGTACATGTGATATATTTGTTACTTCCTTCTGGGATTGTATTTTATTAATCTCTACAAGGTCCTTGTCATAAAGTACATGTATTTCCTTTTTGCTTGCTATGGAATCAGCAAACCAGATGAAAATTGCTCTACATTTCTTTCTATTAATTTCTTCCATTATTTTTCTACATTTTCATTCTGATGGCTGCCAGGTGTCCCCCTGCACCTGCGGAATGCTCCCACCCGCCTGATGAAGGACCTGGGTTATGGGAAGGGGTACAAGTACAACCCCTCCTACTCTGGACCAGTGGACCAGGACTACCTTCCACAGGAACTACTGGGGACAGACTTCTTCACATACCAGGGGGCAGATGCAAGCTACATGTAGAACCTGCAACTTAACGTACATGTCAAACCTACATGTGTTGCATATGATATAGAACCTACAAGTTATATTGTAGGACCTACAAGTTCTATCATCCGTGATGTTTGCATTCAACATAATCTGCAATATCTTCAAAATCGTAAATCATAATCTTCTGGATGAAAGATAAATCTTACTGTAATAGAACAAAAATTATATTCAAACTTAAGGACCTAGTGCTACAAGTTCTGTCGTTGAACAAAAATTATATTGAAACTTATGGACCTAGTGATACAAGTTCTGTCATCTGTGATGTTTGCATTGAACATAATCTGTAATATCTGTATAATCATAATCATAATCTTCTGGATGAAAGATAAATCCTACTACAATAGAACAAAAATTATGTTAAAACTTAAGGACCTAATGCTACATGATGTTTTGAAATGTAAGTAGACTTCATTACAAAGATGTTGGCCTTACAGCTACATTGTACAAGGCAATTCTATTATGGCCATTGATAGGCTTGACCAAGAGTAACACGCTCCCAACAGAACACTAGTATCAGCTGATGACATAGAATAAAGTTTCCCACCTACAACTATTTTTGTGAGGTGTGTTTCTTGTGTGTTTACTTCAGTGGGAATTGACACAGTATACTCCCCCTTCTTTTGTAATCTTTCGTCATTTCTCATTCAGATTGAAATTATGTAACATCAATGTTTTGGGTGCATATGGGAACTGTTTTGTGATATTCCCACACATCAAATAAGGACCAACATGTTGATATATTTTTTTTCACCAATCTGCATGAACATACAAAATTGCCACCTGTTAACTGCAGTTCTACTTTTTTCCGCTGAGTGTTAGTGGCGTCCTGGAGACGTGAAGAAACTTACAATTTGATTTACGCAACGGAAGGTCACTCCAAAACAAGAGAAACAGCCGTTCGGGTTGCTACACGAGAATGTTGAGATGTGTCTACAACATTGATACAGCACAAATGGCGTATGGCACCTTCTGGCAACTCGACATTCCCATCAAACCACATCCTGTACATTGATGATACAAACTTAGAAAATCCAGGAGATGTTGCCACATAATTTCTCTTTAAAGAGCAATTATCTCCTTGCGAAAAATGTAGGGACCATCGAGCCTGGACCATCCAACCCTTTTACAACTCCCGCCAAAAAGACACGGGGTTAAAGGTTACGTTGGTCGATACCATTAGGGCAATAGGGAGTACGAAGCTGGTCATTTGATTTTATACCTTTTCGGACAACATCCTCATACATCTACATTCGTGTATTTCTCTTTCTAATATCACTGAATATATATAAAAGTGTGTGGTTAAAAAAGAAAGTTTTTCTGATAGGTATAACGTTATATACGGTGTTGTCAACCCCCTAGCAAATATTGAGCCCTTCCGCAAATCAGCTGGAGGTTGAATCAAAGGCCGTGATGAGCATGAGGACATGTAGCAAAACTATTTCGTCAGCTGTCTTTCTCCTCATGACATGATACGTATTGTACCGCAACAAATATGACCCACGGTGTTATGAAAGATATCTTGCGGAATCTTGTAGGCAAATTATGTTCCATTCAACATCTGAAAACATCTCAGGACTTGAAGGTGCAGGCCTAGGCTTCATGGCTTTGGGGTAGCTGTATAGTGTTGTAGAACTTGTAGTACTTTAAATTTACTTTTTAGTATCTTTATGGCTTCGTAAATCCATCTTGCAATTTCCAACTGACCACCTTAAAATGACATGAGAATATTAATTTATCTGATGATTTTTCATTCTAGCCTCGAGTGTTAATCCTCGCCTGTGTGGAAGCTGGAAGGTTCCTGTCCTCATGTCTGCAGTCTGATGTACACACAGCAGTTCTCTGTAGTCCAGGTAACAGGCTCTGTGTAACTTACAAGTTTAACTTATCAAGGGCCTTGGTCTCTTCAGAAGAATGATTCCATGTCAAACCTGACCAGATGCAATCCAGTAGCCCTTTATCCATATCTACACCGATGTACTGTGAGACCAGGTCCATGTTGTTCATTTGCAAAAGGGACTCAATAGCTATAAAATAATAAAGTAGAAATGGGTACCAGGATAGCAATTCAAGCTTATCCTTGATGACAAAAAACAAGTTGTTATGAGGTGCAATGTATGTCATTGTTGTAGTAGCTTCTATACCAAATCTACCCCAATATCAAAGGAAGACAGGCAATGAAGACAATGTTTTGACTACTTCAAGACTACTTTCAATGGATCTTTCATGACTGTATAAATGATCTCACAGGAAACTTGATCCCCCATTCCAAGCTGTATGGGAAGGAGGTGCTTGGGTCAGAGGTTGCCTCCCTGGAGTGGGCATGCAGCCAGGGGAGCCTGAAACATGTGATTGTGTGTGGCCATTCCAACTGCCAGGTACATTAGCAACAGTGTGTGTTACATGCTGATGATTAACACCCCCATTTTCTTATGTAGGGGGAAAAGTTCCAATATATTTTAGAACTAGAAGGGTAACATTTGCAAAGCAAATGCATAGTGTTTACCTTTGCATATGGTCTGGTCTGTTAATTCTTACTCAAACACATTTATATATGTTCAGACAGGAGTCTAAAACCCTCCTGCTATAAAATTGCAACATAATGTAACCCAACATCAGTTACCTTGGTGACAGACATTTGGTTCAGGTCACTGACCTTATTGGTTTGGGGAAGAAGAAGAGGAAACAGAGCATGGTAAACATAAATACTACAGGCTCTCAGTGTGCAAATGTTAATGTTTACTACTAGTGCTGATATTATGTTAAACTTAACGTTTAACTCTAATTTTACAGATATTGGATGTGTTGGGCAGGTCACAGATGCAGTCAGCATCTAACTCCAGGTCATCCCCATTCCTGTCATGGCTGACCCAACATGGCAACAGCACTCTCACCAGGTTTGAGAGATATGAGATGGACAGACTTCAACCAGTCACATTTCAGGGAGTCTCACCTAAGGAATTATGGGATGCATATGTTGACCCGCAGTGCTACTGGACTGATCAGGATCAACTATCTCAGGTGTTTTTTCTTGCCTTGTTTGGACTCCACATGATGAAAGTGTATTGAGTGTAACTTATCTGATGTTTAATCTGTATTTTATTTTCATTTCTTTGTAAAAAAATTTATGCCCTTTCTTGTACTACATTTTTAGAATTGGCAAATTAGCCCAAGCCTTCCAACAAAATTGTCTTCTATATTATACTTGCCATATAAAACACAGTTTCTATGTTGTGTTGCAGGTGAATGTTTTACAACAGCTGCAGAATGTGTCTTCCCATGGCTTCCTGAAGCCCCAGCTGAAGTCAGGTGCCTTACAGCTGCACGGCATGTGGCTGGACAGCAGGCATTTGCCTTACTTGTTCAGTAAAGAACATCAGCAATTTGTGCAAGTAAAAGATGACAATATAGACTCTCTTTTAAAGTAATAATTGGATCATATTCACAGAGCAAAATTTCATTATTCATTTTTGAAACACCATATCAAAATGTGAGTGATGTCCTTAATTCTACTCCTTCTCCCCAAGAGCTTTTGCAGCGTTCTCCAGAATTCTTCTCTTCCACTCCTCATAGTCTTCTTCCTCATCGTCTGAGTCACACAGGCGGGCGACCTTTGTAGATGAGCCAACTTTGTCACCTAGTAAACACAATCATTATGGTAACTTGTGTGAGGTAAATTTATCTAACACAATCTCACAACCTATGACAACAGTTGCCTTTTTTTGAAAGTACACAATGCAGTTTATGTGTCTGAACACAAAGTTGATTATTTTCTTATCTATGTGTACTTGGAACTTAAATTTACCATTGACCATGCCACACTACATGTCTTTAGGTTACAAATCTAGTGACACCCAAGAGATGTTTCATACAAATGTGTTTGATACTACATGTATAAATATATAATAGATATTACACATTGTTGAAACTAAAATTGTCATAGTATGTCACAAAACATACTTACTTTCAAATGATTCTTCAAGTTCCTCAATTAATGTTTTTGTCCTCTTTGATTTAGTCCCTGGAGTCTTCTTTGCTTCTGGATTTTGATGGAGACAAGAAACCATAAAGGACCAGTTATCACCTTTGAACTTTTGTTTGAAGAGTGTAGTGTTGACTATGACTTGTTTTAAATCTCAGGAATTTTTCATTTTTAATGCAACTGTGAACTAAATTTCATAATTTTTTACTGTCATACTATTCTAATTACCAAAATACTCTATGACACCTGATGATATCTATCAACTGTACACGTCCTTACCTGCTATTTTTTCTGCATGTTTGGTCATCTCAATGCACAACTTGTCAAATACAGTTTTCTTTGTGCCAGCAACGGATGTCAGCTTGGCTTTATCCACCTTAATCTTCAACTGCCTACAAAATAGGAGAAAACAAAAACACAAGAGCTATGAAGATTTTAGGACATTACATAAATAACTAGAAAGGCCAATATTTGCTTTGGAGCAAATACAGCGATGGGTTCACCACATTTTACCACATGGCAGGGAAAGAATGAGAAACACAAGGGAAAACAATGATTTACATTGATATAACTATAATATGAAGTAACAACTAAAACAACAGTTGGATAGCTATTCCCTACTTTATTGGTTAGGATTTTTAATTGCATAATGCAAACTGTTGATTTTCAAAATAAAATAAAAAACGTTCATGCCCCGCATTCCAATGCTGGAGCAGAAAAGCTTGAAATACCTACCAAAACACTTGAATAAAGACATACTGTCAGTATGGAAATGCTCTGTGCAGGTGTTAATCAAATTAAATCCCAACAGCCAATCAGCAAGAAATGCTCTGTGCAGGTGGAAATGCTCTGTGCGGGTGTTAATCAAGTTAAATCCCAACAGCCAATCAGCAAGAAGTATAGAGGAAAGCTGCATGCCTATTGGTTGATGCCCTGCATTCCATTGTGATGACTCATGCCCAGACGTGGTAAACACGCACACTAACACAGTAATACATTTGCTATAACACAGCCAAAAAACTCAAATAAAACCATTCTAAAAGCCTGTATCACAAAATTTAAAAAACGCCTAGGGGTATTTGCCCACTGTACCTCCATACCAAATTTCAGGACCTTAGGCCCTAAAATGAAGAAGCTGAATCCATTTGAAAAATGGCAGGAGAAGA